TAAACATCACTCAGCTTCCCTCTATGAAGCTTTGTCTGGTAGCCAAAGAGGTTATACTCTGCACTGTCACAGGCCTTCATGCATCCCTCCACCACCACATTTATTCTAATATATGATAATTGTATGACTAATTTTCCCCATTTTACTGTTAATACTTGGAGTAAAAGGGTTATGTCTTATGTCTCTGTCTATCCCACTAGTGCCTAGCATGGTGCCTTAGAGAAAGAGATACAGAAAAAAAAATGTTGACTATTATATATGCATATTAAGAAATAATTTGTTTAAGAGAATTTTTCATTATTGTATTGCTCAATGGGGTGAAAAGAACTGGAAAATATTAATGGTTGTTATTCTGTCAACTATCTGACCACCATTAGTGAACCAGTGGGAGAGGCAATTTTTAATTTATGAAATGGAAATTTATTTCAATTAGTTATAATGTGGTTAAGAAATCACATTTGAAAATATTTATACTATGTCTGAAATAGGCACACTAATACACACATACTCAGCCTTTTCACTTTTCACTTTCAGCTTGGATTTTTTTTAACTGAGCATAAGCACTGACAGCACTTCTTGGAACTTTTTAATGTATATTTAATGTTCACTTTTATGGTAACCCTACATTAAATCCCATTGGCCAAAAGCAAGTTATAGCTCTTCTGGCTGCTGGCCAAAGGCTGGTGGATCAGCACCACGGACAGCGGGAAATGGTGCCAAAGGTCACTCTAAGGCTACTTGTAAAATAACAGCTGTGACCGCAGATGTACTACCAAGGAGAGACTGGTGTGAATGTTCCCCTAGGGATCATGGGAAGAGCATGACATCAGGGTTGGGGTCAACTCAGAGGATGGGGTCTTAAGAAAACCACCACTCCTCCAAGATGTCTCTGAGTAGCATGATCTGCTTCATTTATTGACCCATATTGATTTCAACAATTTTTCAACAATTTGCTCTTCTGTTCCCAAGGTGCCAACATTTCCAAGCTGAAGTAAACATAAATAACTAACTAGAAAATATGAAGGACATTTGTTCTTTTTACCTGTCCAGCATCTATGACCCTTTTTTCCTTTGCAAACCACCTTTCAAACAAATAAGCTGTTCTTAAAAGATGACACTAAGGAATTGTTGATGCTATGGGGAAGCGTTTGTGATTATATTGAAGTTATGTTTAAGATGGGAGCCCCTGTCTTTTAGCAGTATATTCTGACAGCTACAAATGAAATAATATGATGTCTGGGATTTGTTTCAAAATAATCCAGGATCAGGGGAGTAGACAGAGATAAAGGGAAGACAAGTTTGGCCATGAATTGCTAATTGTTAAAGCTGGAGCATGAGAACACAAGAGTTAATTCTCTCTACTCTTTTATACGTCTGAAATTTTCCATTAAACATATACATATACATGTGTGTGCATGTAACACTGAGAGGCCACAAAAAAACAAAAATAACGATTCCTGAAGAATGTATAATCCTACACCTAAGAGATAATGCAGAGCAAGCTTTAATACCCTCTACTCAAAGAGGAGCTTTAAGGAGACTAAGCTATAACTGGCCCCTGAAGACTTGAGATTTCTGTCTCGCTCAAGATCATATGATGGACTAGGGAGTTCAGATGTCTAGGGATGTTCACTTTATTCTGGAGCAAGATGTCTCAGGAGAGTAGTTTCTAAGAAATGAAACCTTTCATGCACCTCCCCCGGCAAGAGGCAGCTGGGGGCAGCTTGCAGTTGCAGGGGCTGAGGCTGAGGGTAGGGAACGGGTCCCTGGTTGTGATGATGGGCCCACGGTCAACACCTAAAGTTTGGGGTCAGAACTAAAACAACAACAAAGCATTCTTTAAACATAAAATGGGCTAGATAAGTAGAGGGAGTCGAGATATGATGCCAAGTACATAGGGAGAGGTGCTAAAACATGAAGAAGGTGGACAGGTACAAAAGGAAGACATACCTAAGTATTTCCTGGATTGGCGGAGGGGGTTGGGGGGCTTTTCATGCAGTACCCACATCAGAAGTAAATAAGGAGCCAACACAGACGCTGGTGGATAAAATAAGAAAGCGAATGTAAATTTGCTTCAAAATCTGTGGAACTGTGCACATATGGCAAGAATTACTCAAAGCTTATGGACAGCAGATGAGGTTGAGTGCCTACTATGTGCAAGGCATTGCTCTAAGCACCTGGCACACAACAGTTAAATAAATAAAGTCCTGCTTCATTGAGCTAACAGTCTAGTGGGGGAGACAGATAAATGTATTTGCCAATTATTTAAAAGTGTGATAATTTCACCTGGCTTTTTCCTTTACAGAAAAGATGGCCTCCAGCTCACTGCAATCCCCATTATTCCCCATTCCCTACTGTCTTTTTTTTTTAAATAAATTTATTTATTTATTTTTGTCTGCACTGGGTCTTCGTTGCTGCGTGAGGGCTTTCTCTAGTTGTGGCAGCGGGGGGGGGGCGGGGGCTACTCTTCCTTGTGTTGCGCGGGCTTCTCATTTCCTCTAGAGCTCAGGCTCAGTAATAGTGGCTCACGGGCTTAGTTGCTCCGCGGCATGCAGGATCTGCCCGGACCAGGGCTCGAACCCGTGTCCCCTGCATTGGCAGGCGGATTCTTAACCCCTGCACCACCAGGGAAGGCCTCCCTACTGTCTTACACTCTACTTCACTCAATTATGTTGTCTGCCTGAGTCCTGCAGCCTTTCGAGTTGGTGACCCCTGCCCCCAATGTCCCTGAGGTGCTTGTGACACTTACCTCTCCTAAAAACACCAAATGGCTCAAGGAGCATATAAAAGACCCTGTTCTTAGCCGACTCAGAATTGTGGGTTGCCACTTTGTCTAAAGTAACCTTGGGCGGATACATCACCTCACTGAGCTGTCAATGTCCTTAACTCTAAAACGGATGTAATCTTACCTGTTTTATAGGATTTCTGTGAGGATTAGACCTTGCCTAGTCAGTTCTTACTCCTCCTTTGGATCTCATCCCTAGCTTTACCTCTTCAAAGAAACTTTCCCAGACCTCCTAAGTCAACTCCCTCTAATATACACAGATTCTAAGCATCATGTACTCGTCGGCAGTACCTGCCACAGTTACAACTGTACATTGGTTTGTAGATTATTTGATTAACACGTGCCTCTCTCACCAGACTGAAAGCTGAAAAGTGGCAAAGGATGCTGTGTTTTTTGTTTTGTTTTTCTCACCATGTCTAGAAAAAAAAAAAAAAAAAAAAAGGTGACCAAAGAAATGAAATAAAATAAGCTTGTAGACAGCTGTGCAAAGACAACCTCTGGCATGTACTAGCTGCCCAACAGATTCGCACCTAATGCCTCTTGGCTGCTGGAATTTGCATGTCAAGTTTTAACTAAGACTTTCTCTAAGGAAAAAAAGTCACTAAGTTTTATTTTTTGATAGTCTATCTACCTGCCAACCCCAGAACAGGGATTTTTGCTTTGCCCACTGATATAAGCCAAATGCCTAAAACTGCCTGGCACCTAATCAGTAAAGGGATGGAGGGAAGGAGGGAGGGATGGGCGGGCACAGTTCTGGGGTTTCACAGAAGTTGAGAGACTGGACAGCTCCTCCTGCCACCACCAGCAGAAAGCTGGGGCCTGGTCGGAGGAACTCTGAGCCAGAGATGACATCCTCTCCCAACAGTTTTAGCTACACCGACTTCCCCGGTGCCCGGGGCAGTAAGAGCCCCCGAGGCGAAGAGCAGCCCCCGCTGCTCCGCAAGCAACGGACGGGGGCATTCATGGATGGGTACATTCACAGACGCGAACATTCACATATGATCCCCCAGAGAAGGTCGAGGGGCGGCACCGTGTCCCTCCGCGAGGGCCGCTGTCCCGCCGAGGGTCGCCACCTATAGCAGCCTTTCCAACACGCGACCGTTCGCAGCGCGTGACAGAACCCTCCGCCAGGCAAACGAGTTCTCACACCCCCGCGTCAGAAAGGACTTCGCGCCACCTCCTCATTAGCGCTCCTCAACCTCACAGACTCTCCCCGCCTCCCAGATTCTCCGGCTGACGGAGAACGCCCACTCCCCTTTCTCACACTGTTCCACAGTCTCTTGCAAAGTGCCTGCAGTGTGTCCGTCCGCCCCGGGGAAGAGCCGCCGCAACCCTTCTCATTCCTAAAGTGTCTCAGCAGCGCGTCGCTGCGCTGCGCGCTCTCGCGAGAGTCCACCGCGCCGCCCCCTCCCCCCCAGCCCCTCGCCGACGAGGAAGCCTCCGCTGAGCCCGGCGGCGCGCGGGCTCGAGTGGCGCATGCGTGGCTGCTGCTCCCAGCGCCCCCCGCGCAGTCCGGGAACAGAGCAGACGAGGCTGCGAGCGAGGATCCTGCAGCCGCTACCCTACGAATCGTTGTTTGGTCCCCGCGGCTTCTCTCCCCTTAGGGACAGGACCGCTTCGCGGCTTTCCTCAGCGTGTGGAGGTTTCCTGAGGACGGCCCGGGCCACCTTGGGCCAGAAGAGCCGGGCGCTGGCCTCGGATAACGTCGGCCCCCACCAGCCACCCGCAGCGGCCTGGGCGCGCTGCCGTGCCCCGAGCCTCGAACCCGGGGCCGGGCGGGGCCTACGCATCCGGCCCCACCCACTCGGGGGCCTCCCCTCCCCCGGGCCCTTACCCGGGTGTCTGACACACCCCCTCCCGGCCCGGCTGTCCGCCCCCGCCCTCCTGTCCGCGGTCCCCTTGATTTTCTCCCAGTCCTCTAGCGTTGCTCTTTCCGACATTGCACTAAAAGATGCACCCTGGAAAACCACAACGCGGGGACACATCTTGTTGGGAGAAGAGGCTGAGTTCTTGGACCTTAGGGTACATGTTCACCTTTTCAAGGGCCTAGGATAGATTTGATTAATCAGCCTAGGGTACCCTGTTCCTGCTGACACTGCCGTTTTCACTTCCCTGCCTTCCCACACTTCCAAAAACATTAGCAGGGAGCTCTCGAAGGTTTGGTTTCTTCGAGTCTCCTTTGAGCTAGACGTGAGGTTGACCCCCGGCTTAGAGCATGGCTGCATCCCTGGACCCTCAGATCGACGCGCCCCTGGAGGTTGAGGGATGCCTAATAATGAAGGTGGAAAAGGAGCCCGAGTGGGCATCGCAGCCCATTCTGGAAGGATCGGACGGCTCTGAGTCCGAGACTTCTCGCAAGTGCTTCAGGCAATTCTGTTATGAGGATGTGACCGGACCCCATGAAGCTTTCAGTAAACTCTGGGAACTTTGCTGCCGGTGGCTGAAGCCAGAAATGCGTTCCAAGGAACAGATCCTGGAGCTGCTGGTGATTGAGCAGTTTCTCACCATTTTACCTGAGAAGATTCAGGCGTGGGCACAGAAGCAGTGTCCAGAAAGTGGAGAGGAGGCGGTGGCCCTGGTAATACATTTGGAGAAAGAGACTGGAAGACTAAGACAGCAGGTGAGAGAGGATTTTCCAGATTTTTGTATTTAGCAAGAAGGGGGTGGAAAGGAAGATGGGCAAGGGATGCATTGCAGGAAATGCAAATTATGGAAGGATAAATGGTAATAATGAAAGACCTTTAAAGGGAATCTACTTAAAAGGGATCAGAATTTCATATTAAATAGAAAAAAAGCTTTGGTTGAACTATTATCTTGCAAATGACACTAAACATTATGCATCTAAGTATTTGTTTTAAGTCTTTGTGTAACGTTTCCCCCAAAAATTATATGAGAGAACAGTACATTATGCTTCACAGGATTTTACTTTTGTAGCTTGATCCTAAAGAGGGCTATTTTGCCCTGCCCCCCACCCAAAAAGGAAAGAAAGGACTTTATCAGTTACCCCAGGGCCTCTTGTAATCCTTTAATATTGCAATCCGTGTCTTCTGAAGTGCCCTCAATGTCATCATTCTTGTCACTCTTCTTCATTTTAATTGCTGATCCTTATTTGTCAGTGGCTTTGCATGCTCTTCTAATTGTTTTTCAACAGCGCTTTCAGTAACCTCATGAAATCCTGCAAGATTTGCACTTTCACCTTGCACAGGATGTGTGTAAAGATCTGACTATTAGCAAGTTGCTGTGTTGGTCAGAAATAGACACTAGATGTCAAGATTAATTTTCTAAGTTTTCAGTGCACTACTGAATTAATTAGTGTTTCATTTCTCAGTGAACCTGATAGATATGAGGACTCAAATAATGTCTAGTCTGATAACAGGGAGGCTCTGTATTTCACTCCTAAGAGATTTTGCCCCTCTGTATACTAATAAAGAGCACTCTCCTATTCCCTTATGCCCAGACTTCTGGACAATACTAATTATCCTGATGCCCTCAGAGGTCCCATAGGGAATGGAGTGAAATTTTCATCCCTTCTCACATCTTCTATCCTTCTTTGATATCTTTCTTGGGGGAATTTGGCCCTGATCTAGCCCTCTTTAACTCCCTTTTCCCATTATGGCACTGACTTTATTTCCCAGGTTAGCAGTCCTGTGTACTCAGAGAAGCAAGTCCCACTTGGAGCAGCATGGGAGGTGGCAAACTTTCAGCCACAGCAGGTGGAGACCCAACCCAGAGTGATGTCTCTGGAGGGAGCTGAAAGCCTCCACTCAGGACACCAGGAGCAGCTGAACCAAAAGAGAGAGCTTCGGCCCTTACCCAAGAATGGTAAGAAGAACTCAGAGCATGCCCAGTGCAGAGACCATGGCAGATTTGTTTTGTAGCCGTAACACTGTGACTTGTTCAGCGTAACGTCCCCTCAATACATATTTGAAAGTAAATTGAATATTGGGGAGAAAGACTTCATTAGCTTCAAGACTTGGGAATATGTGTGACATAAGTAAAAGGGATCTTAAAGATGGAATCTGAGAAAACATAGATTGCCCAGACTGGCCTTAAGTTCTCATAGTGTTATTTAAGAATCTCCATCCTACAATCAGCTTGTGGTTTTTAGTCCTGCTGCATGTATAAGTGTGTGTGTTCTTGGCTGACTATATGCAACTTGGAAAAACTGTTTGGAAGAGGAAATGAGATTTATTTTCAAAAAGTGACTGACAGTAAGGCATCACAGAAGTGGCTTATGAGAGGGATAAACAATAAGACTTCATAGAGGAGAGACAACTGGTGTTCATATCTGCCCTAGATGTTAATGAATCAAGTCAAATACAAGGAAATGAAGACCCTGCCCTTCCCAGTCCACAGTGATCTCTCCATCCTCTGCAGCATGGTGTCAGGCTTAAAGAGAAGAATGGAAAGATCACTGAACCTACAGTAGAAAGACATGGGTTTATATCCTTTCTCTGCCCCCTCCCTATGTTATCTCGGGCAAGTAATATTAATTAATCTCTGTCTATTAATGCATAGAGATTAAGAAATTAGGCTTTAGAGGTAGACAGTATGCGTTCAAAACCTACCTCTGCCATTCTTTATCTGTGTGGTCTTGGTCAAGTTACTAAACTTCTCAAACTTTCCATTCTGTCATCTGTAAAAGGAAAATACTAAGGTTGTTAGCATAGATTAAAGGAGGCATCATAAAAAGGGTCAGTGCATAATAGTGCTCAATAAATGTTAGTTTCCTTTCTTCCATAATGGTATGATTATTTTTAAACTTCAAATCTGTCTGACTTACAGAACCCCTCATCAAGAGGCAAGATTCACCACTTCGGACCCCACCTCCTTATTCCTCCTGAAATTCATATTATGATAGAATGCATTGCAAATATTAATGGTTTCTGGATTTTTCAGTGTTTGTTCATCAGCATCAAAGTTCCCTTGTTCACATGGATTAGATGCTGTCAGTTACTTTACCTGATAAATTCATGGTGTTTCTGGATTTTGCCATCTCAGGTGATAAGGAATTCCTAAAGTAAGGTGGTTTGTTCTGTTGAGGTCCTTACTGGGGGTAAGGAGGACAGAAAATCTGAGGGATAGATATCTCAGAAAGGTGAATTCCTTCTAAAAGAAGAGGTAGGATTTCAGCCATGTGTGCCTAAGGGAATAATGTATTTCTAAGGAAGTGATTCAGTTTGATTCCATAGAAAGTGGTAGATCAAGCTTTTGAGTTCTTGGTCACAGTAATATTTACTCTTAAAGTTTTCCTAGATAGTGAATTCTATAGTATAAGTTAGACCACAGACTGCCTTATACTATGTAAGCTTATATATCTTCCTTCCACCTTTCTGGGGGTATATTTGCCTGTAGTGTTCAGTACTATGGATCTGTATATGCTAACATTTTTTAGGACAGTATTCACTCATAGGGAATTAATTTGTGCTAGAGATGGCGAACTGGTAACTCACATGCCAAATCAGATTGTTTTGTTTCACCTACAAGGAGTTTCTGGTTTGGGGGTTTTGTTTGTTTGTTTTTAGTTCTCAAGGTTTAAGACTTGAGATTATACATAAAAGTCCTGCTTTCTGGCTTCTCTTGAAAAAGTTAGAAGCTCTGGGGCTTCCCTGGTGGTGTAGTGGTTAAGAATCTGCCTGCCAGTGCAGGGCACATGGGTTCTAGCCCTGGCCCAGGAAGATCCCACATGCCGCAGAGCAACTAAGCCCATGCGCCACAACTACTGAGCCTGCGTTCTAGAGCCCGAGAGCCACAGCTACTGAGCCCACGCACCACAACTACTGAAGTCTGCATGCCTAGAGCCCGTGCTCCACAAGAGAAGCCACCACAATGAAAAGCCCACACACTGCAAAGAAGAGTAGCCCCCACTCGCTGCACCTGGCAAAAGCCCACTCACAGCAATGAAGACCCAACACAGCCAAAGATAAAATAAATAAAATTTTAAAAAGTTAGAAGCTCTGTGCCAGGGCAATAATCTCACAATGAAGCATCAGCTGGAGCTGAATACTAGGTGTACCCTTTCAGTGGGACATGTGCTCTCCAGTTCCCCACAGTCCGTACCTCTCCCCTTTCATGATGTCCTTTACCTGCTTACTCCCTAAAAGCATTTGTGTTTGTGAGCCCTGCTTTAGGGTACCGTGGTTTGGGGCATTGTTCTGAATTCATTGAGAAAATGAACAATTTATATTTGTCAGTTTTTTATACGTGCTCATTTCATAAAAGGAGAAGCAGAATGAATAAAATGGCAGAGCCAACGACACTAATGGTTTCTTTCTCTTCTTACAGCTCGGCCTTCTCCCTGGGTTCCTGCTCCTGCTGATGAATGGAACACCATAGATCAGGAAGTAACAGCCACACGAGTTCCTGTTGGGTCCCAGGTAAATTGTAATTGTTCTCTCTAGCCTAACTTCCTAGGATGTTCAGTCACAATGATTTCCTCAAACTTTTATACTCCCTCCAAGAGACCTTTTCCCCCTTGCTCCTTTTCCAGAAGAGACTGCACCCAGCCATCTGAGTAATGGGATTCCTTGCCGGGTCATCTCTTATGATTCTTTATAGTACCTTCTGCTTCATTTGGCACATAATATACACTTGGTTGTTTGATTTTAATTTTTATTTAGGGCCTTTCTGTGCTTCATCCATGATCATTCATGCTTCAAAACCCCATGTGGTTATCTTGGTAGTCATTACTGTTAGTGTGTTACAGGGACCAGTGAAAGATGACCACATGGCAAGAGGTTTTTCCTACAAAAAGAGTGTGCGTCAGATTCCTGCTCACAGAGACCTCTACCGGCATATTAGAAAGGAGAGTATTGGGAACATGGTCTCCCTGGGTAAGGATTCTATACCTTTTCAAATAAAAGATTTGGGGATTTCTAATATATTCACTTCTACCGATGATAAAATAGTTATAAGTGTTATCACTTTAAGGACCTCCATGGGTTGTCTAGTCATTTTTGGCCTCTAGCATACCATGTTCTCATACCTCACTCATTCCTTTCTTCCAATTTATATTATAGATTTTTATACATTCTTATAATTTAGTGATTAAAACATTGGGGTGATTTATATATGATTGTCATATTATTGAAATATAAACTTATCTACATCCACTAGACTAAAAATTCCGTAAAGTCATAAGGTCTTTTAGGATTTGTTTTTGTTTAACCCATAGTAACCCCAACACTGTGCACAGAGCCTGACATATGGGTGGTGCCCAGCAAATATTCATTGAGTGGATGGAAATCTTATAAACAGAAGGAAAAAAGTAATTTCAGTACAACAACCTTGATAGCGTGTTGTGAATTTTTTAAATAGCACAAATTTTTACAGGCACACATAACCACTGAAATGTAATTTTACAAGCAAACTTTTGAAGAGCTATATCATCTGCTTTAACAGTAGGGCTAAATATGGTTCATTCATATGTAAGCTACAAGTCAGAGATTACTTATAAATAAAATTATAGGCCTAAAATGTGCACCAATACACACTATAGATACTATAAACCTTTGTTGTCTAATAGAGTAGCCACTAGCTACATGTGGCTATTTAAATTTAAATTTATAAAATTAATTAAAATTAAATAAAGTTTAAAATTCAGTTCCTCAGTGGCAATAGCTACATTTAAGGTATTCAATAGCTGTATTGGACAGCACAGTTATAGAACATCATCATCAAAGAAAGTTCTGTTGGACAACAATACATCTAGACCCTGAAATACAGAGATTACAAAATAGGCCATGTCAAACTGAATGAATAAAGATAAACTGACAATTGTTTATAATCAGAAAGTAATTAAAGCAGTTTAAAAAAATGATCAACTTAAGATGACACACCAGTAACAAAGCACTCTTCCCAAAACAGTAGGACCCTTGATTTTATTTTATTTTTATTATTATTATTTTTTTTAAATTTTTTGGTCACACCACACAGCATGTGGGATCTTAGTTCCCCGAACAGGGATCAAACTTGCTCCCCCTGCAGTGGAAATGCAGAGTCTTAACCACTGAACTGCCAGGGAAGTCCCAGGACCCTTGATTTTAACTTTTACTTAGGGTCTCTGCACTTCATCACTGATCATTCATCCTTCAAAGACCTGTGTGGTTATCTCGGTAGTCATTGCTGTTGGTGTTGTTACAGGAGCCAGTGAAAGATGGCCACATGGCAAGTTGCCTACACAATAGCTGTTTCCTAGTGTTCCCTTGGATCACACAGCATCCAGACCTAGTAAAATGATGAATTAGAGGTCTTAGTAAAATCTGCCATGAGTGGGTTAGAGACCATACTGTGGACATTCAGATTTAGCCCAGTGCCTCCATGTATAATAATTACATATGGAAAGGCCCAGGCCCACAGACACCTGGCTCGGTCTTTTATCATAGATTGTAAACTAAAGGCTTATGAGTCTAGCCTACAAACATATTTGGGCCTTGCACAGAATTTTAATATAAAATTAGTTTATAAATCTGGATTTCCAGTATCTCTTAAAAAAATCAAACGTCAGGCACAATGGGCCCACCTTCTCTCACAGCAGCCATTGACCACAGCTGAGTGGAAGAGCTCGTGCTAAAATGCCAGGGCTCTCACTCCAGCCACCTCACTCCTTTACTTTGCCTGCCTGGTCCTGGTAGATGTTTGAACTTTCATTGTCCCTACACTTACTTCTCTCATGTGAAAGTGAAGAGCAAATCTCCATCCCCAGGGTTCTTTCAGCAAGGATTTAATTTGATGCTGCCTCCCTAGGAGAATTCTGTGAAGCTCCTATGTGTGTTTTCTATAGAAGGAAACTAAATGTTATTACATACTTATTAGGCATTGGACGCTTTACAGATGATCCTTTATTTACTATTCCTAGCACCTTGTTGAATAGATTATATTATTTCCTAGGAAACTGAGGCTCAGAGAGATTAAGAAACTTCCCCTGGTCAGAAAGTAAAGTGGTGGAGCTCGGATTCCAATTTAAGACATGTTGATCTCCACCATATTGTAAAGTAAAAAATTAAGTTACTTTCCTATTCTTACATCTCTTTCCCATTAACTTTGCCAGAATGTCTCCAAAAGTTCTTGACTTCTCATCTCCCATAGCCCTAGTGTGTGTATGTGTGTGTTGAGTGGGGGAGTGAGGGGATGTGGGGAGCAGGTGTAAGCACACTTTATAAGTAACGAATACTGGTTCATAGGAGCACGCTGTGAACCTAACACAATGTTAGATACTGAGAGGGAATTGAAGGTAATGAAATACGTGCTTCTTACCCTTAAAAGTTTTCCTTTAAGAACTAGCTGGGGAAGGAAGTGGTACATATATGAGAAGTGAAACGGTAGTCTAAGTTAGTAGATGATTGTGCCAAATAACTCGTGTAAGAAACTAGTGTGCATGATCGTGATTGAGGAAGACTTTAGAGAAGGAACTGAACAAGACCTTTAAGGGTAGGTGTGAACAAGTATTCCAGGAGAGCATACTACAGCAGGAGATTGGGGCATGCAGTGATGATCTCTCTAGCATGAAATATATTTCTCTTACTCTAGGAAACACAGTGTCTACAGCTAACAAGATGGCACAGTTGGAGCAAAGAAAGGAGCCATGGACAATAGGTCTACAATCCTCTAATAAGAGGAATGTCCTACGAAGCAACTATATCAAGGAAAAGTCAGTTCATGCTATTCAGACCCCTGCAAGGAATGCAGGGAAAACACGGAGAGAGCAGCAGCAGTGGGGTCTGGAAGATGAAAAAATAGCAGGCGTGCATTGGAGTTACGAGGAAACTAAGACTTTTCTTGCAATTCTCAAAGAGTCTCGCTTTTATGAAACACTTCAGGCCTGTCCCCGAAACAGCCAAGTATATGGTGCTGTAGCTGAATGGTTGCGAGAATGTGGCTTCCTCCGAACACCAGAGCAGTGTCGGACCAAGTTCAAAAGTCTACAGAAGAGTTATCGAAAAGTGAGAAATGGCCATGTGCTAGAACCCTGTGCCTTCTTTGAGGACATGGATGTTTTGTTGAACCCTGCAGCTCATACTACATCCACGGATAAGCCAAAGGAGATTCTGTCTCTCCCCAGACTAAAGAGAATTGGTATCAATGCTAAAGAACAGATCAATTTGGTGGAGGAGGAAGAAGCCACAGAAGAATCTGATGGTGATGAAATGGGTGTTGAGTTTATCCAGAAGTCTGAGCTTCGTGGTGCTCCTGTCTTATTTCAAAACCTGAGTGGTAAGAATGGTGCTTTTTTTTTTTCTGGTTTGAAATTGGATGATGTGGTCTTGTGGAAAAAGGAGTAGACCAGAAGTGACCAAACCCAGGGAATTCTGTCACGCACACCTTGCCACTCATCACTGTAATTGGCCATATAACTGAAAGTACTCCCAGGTGTTTTGTTACCCCCAGTGCAGTCTGAGTAACAGCCATGAAGGGTTCTTTCTTGGGTTAGAGCACAGCATGAATTTTGAGTATTTGGGGTCTGTGGAAGGAAGACAAATGGAGTCCTGGGTTCTAAGGATCTAACATTATCTGAGAATTGTTACAATGCAGTCAATTGTATTAGATTGTAACAGTCAAGGATACGTTATTATACTATCAAGGATAGTCCATAAAGGAATATGTAACTAACAACAACAACAAAAAAAGAATTAAAAAAAAAGAAATTCAAAGAGAAGACAAGAAAGGAAAAGAAGAATCACAAAGTAGATGCATTAAATGGAAAAAAATCAGTAAGATGATAGATGTAAATCCAAATATATCATTAATTACAAATTTAAAAGTCTAAGATTATCAGATATATTTTTTAAAACTATATTGCTTACAAGAGATACATCTTTTTTTTTTTTTTTTTTGAAGCAGAGAAAGGCTTATTGCAGGGCCAAAGCAAGGAGAATGGGTGGCTTATGCTCAAAAACCCAGAACCACAAGAGATACATCTCAAACAATATTCAGAGATATTGAAATTAAAAGGATAAAAAAAAGATACTATGCAAAAGAAAGATGGTGTTGAAATTTGGGGCCTGGGACATGCAGAACTAAACCACCAATTAGTAGCTATATGACAGCTGACATATCATATAACTACTTTGAGCTTCAGTTTTCTGTCTAAAATATAGCTAAGAATATGAGGGTAGTTGTTAGTGTTAAATGAGATAATGTAGATGAAGGCATTCTGCAGATGCTAAAATGCAATAAAGCACTGCCTGGTGTCACAGTTATTAGTAATGTTTCTGTACTCCACTTTATGAAAAGATGATAAGTTCTTAGGTGGAATGGAAAAATAAACCAGGCTGGGAGATCTGAGACTGTACTCATGACTGTATCTATTCAAAACAAACAGGTCTCAGGAAAAAGATGGGAAAATGCATTATACAGGTATTCATCATTCTGGAAATCCATAGACATGAGGGTAGGTGGTTTCAAATATGGAATCCAATGATATGACTGAAAGAGACCACCCAGTAAGATGGAGGACAGAAAAGACTTTCCTACTACAGATTATAAAACACCCAAAAAGCATGTTTAACAAACTGTCTTCAGACATATCCTGAAAAGCTTAATTCTGCTATAAAAGCAGGACATCTGCCTGTCTTACAGATGGTTTCATCTCAAAGTAGAGGACTCAGTAACATCAAAAACTACTCTGGACATAGTTCTGCTGTTCAAAGAAGACGGGCTAAAGAAATGATAGGGAATTTGGAGGAAAAGTTCCTGCTGGGTGTCCTAGCCCATTATTCCTAACAATTTTTAAAAGACAGACAGCTAAATCCTTAAGAACCATAGCAATGGCAGATTTGGGGGGCTGCATTTTTATTCTACCAAGTAAACTTTGAAATCAGTTCATCAATTTTAATTTTAAAATCCTATTGGGATTTTGACTTTATAGATTCATTTGACAATTGATATCTGTACAACTTGAATCTTCCTATCCAGAAACATAGTGTCTCTCCATTCTTTCTAGTTCTTTTATGTCTTTCAATATAATATTATAGTTATTTTATATAGACCTTCTCATTTCTTGCAAACCTTATTCCCAGGCATATGATAGTTCCAGGGAATGGGATTTGTTTTCTTGTACTTCTTATATTTTGTAATGTATAGAGGCTTCAGACACCTTGTTTCTTTGAACTTTATCCTTGAATGGCAGGTGTGCACTGGGGCTACGAGGAAACCAAGACTTTCCTTGACATCCTCCGTGAGACTCGGTTTTATGAAGCACTGCAAGCCTGTCATCGGAA